TTTTATCAATTCAAACGATCATATTATTAAATGCAAAACAGTAGCACTTTTGAAAAAACTTCAAGTAGAAATTAGTTCTAAAACTAGACGAGAACTTTTTCTTTTGCAAAGGTGAATAAATATCACCATACTTCATATAATACTCTGTAAATATCTATATTGACTTTTTTTCTTATATGTCTTTGTGTGATATTTGCCTTGGAAACAGAATAACTAACACATTTTCTACTTTATGTAGATCATTCCTTGACAAATTTTCATATATATACGATGATCTTCTTGAATCGTTATTATTTTATAAATTTTGATCTTTGTTTAATCAGTTAATGCACATTAATAAGAACAACTTATGACCATTTAACTTGAATTCTATTTCCACTAAGTTTTGAATCTTAAAAAGAAAACCATTATGAAGGCAAAAGTAAAATGATTTTCTTTACTTTTACTTCACCCGAAAGTTAAAATATAGCCATGAGCCAAGTAAGTTATAGCTTTCAAAAATTTGTTTATACTTCATTGCACCAAAAATGAAATTAAATGAATGTAGTAAAGTCCAATTTTGAGAGTAAACCCATATGAATATGATATAATCTTTCGAATATAAAGACAAAATATTTATTTGATTTAAATTTCTGCAATGATTCTCTACATTAGATAATTTATAAAGCATTGAATTCTATCAGAATTCTGGAAAAGAACAGTTTTCGAAAATGAAATTTATTTCCAATTAATAAAAGACAAATTTTAGTTTAGTAGTTGCATCCTAATCGTTCTTCTAATATGGAGAAAATGATTTTGTTCGTTGCAATAATTCTTATAGTATAATATAATACCAACGATTAAATGGATATCTCAAATACACCTTATAAATAATTTCAAAATATTTATCAATATTTTAATAAATATCTTCATCGGTTTACTAATACGGATATGAAACCATTCGATTTAAAATCAAATAATATGGTGAAAAAGATTAGAGAAAAAGGACAATTAAAACAAATAACGCTCGTCGCTGCAACTCGCTTAACCCTCGACTGAAGTGTGAAGGCTATATTTACATACTATTTTACCCCATTCAGACTACTTTTGAGAATATCAAATGTCTACAGGGCGTAACACAACCTTTACGCTCCCCTCTACAACTTAGATTATTAATGATATCATAAATGTATTTTATACCAAATTAAAGCGCGTCAAAAACTGGATTTATTGGTACTAAATAGGAAAGGTTATGTAGACCTTTAAATGTCAAACTTAAGGCATTTTTAGAAATTTTATACTTTTTTTTGGCGTAGAAAATTAAGGTGCCATTAATTCAAAAATGGAGTAAAACTTTTTTCTTGGATATTTTTACATGGTTTGATAGAGCTCGTCGAGCTCTACAAAAGTGAATATTTCAAAAAAAGTTGAGCCATCTTTTTGTGATAAAAAAAATCAAAAAACTACTCGAAAAATCTCAAAAAATCTCAAAAAATTCATTTTTTTTCCCATATAGGAAAAAAACACCCGATTTTTCAATAACATTAGCTTTTCTCATTCCTTATACTACCTCAGACATTTGGAAATGTGCTCATTCGATTCTGCGTGAAAAACTGCACCGAAGGAATACTTTTTCAAATGTCTGAGATAGTATAAGGAATGAAAAAAGCTAATGTTATTGAAAGATCGGGTGTTTTTTTCCTATATGGGAAAAAAAATGAATTTTTTGAGATTTTTTGACATTTTCCGAGTAGTTTTTTGATTTTTTTTATCACAAAAAGATGGCTCAACTTTTTTTGAAATATTCACTTTTGTAGAGCTCGACGAGCTCTATCAAACCATGTAAAAATATCCAAGAAAAAAGTTTTACTCCATTTTTGAATTAATGGCACCTTAATTTTCTACGCCAAAAAAAAGTATAAAATTTCTAAAAATGCCTTAAGTTTGACATTTAAAGGTCTACATAACCTTTCCTATTTAGTACCAATAAATCCAGTTTTTGACGCGCTTTAATTTGGTATAAAATACATTTATGATATCATTAATAATCTAAGTTGTAGAGGGGAGCGTAAAGGTTGTGTTACGTCCTGTAGACATTTGATATTCTCAAAAATAGTCTGAATGGAGTAAAACAGTATGTAAATATAGCCTTCACACTTCAGTCGAGGGTTAAGCAAGTTGCAGCGACGAGCATTATTTGTGTGCCAACGGGATATTATCTAATTAATCCAACATTTGTTTAGATGTTCTCGTTTAAAAAAAGACAATGGTGATTATTGTTGACAATTACCAAATTATAATTCTAAAAACGAAACTGATCAACAAATTGAACTTTTACGTCAAATAGTTCGTGAAAGCGAAGAGACTTGGATTAAAGAACGATCTAATTTAAACAAAGAAACAATGAGCATATTAATATAGTTATCAATCAAGTTTGTTAATTTTCATTGAAATCAAATAAAAAATTTCATTTTTTAGATTGATTTATTAAAAACATCCGAAACGACAATTGAAATTCAAAGTCAAAAATTTTAAAAATAAAATTGATTTAGTTGAACAGAAGTAATGAAAAATAAAATGTTTTGTTCTTCATGAAACAGTAGATGCTCCACTGACGAGATGAACTTTTCGCGGAGATATTTTTTAAATAAAACGTTCATTTTAATATGTTGGAGATTAATATATGGAATTCGATTAGCGAGATTGAATCTTCAACCGGTTTAACAATGTTTATTTTGATTAATATAACACAGAATTAAGTTGAAGTTTAGTGCTTATAAAAGAAGAAAGTCTCTAGAATAATCGATCTAATAAAATCTATTCAATTCTTTGAAGATTTATTTATTTGACATACATTTCAATCGTTCATCATATAATTCCATTTTCATTATCACGTCCAATATCGAGTAATTGACGTCATCGATATCGTTCATCAAGTAGAACGAAACGATGTCCATCATCTACTGGGAACATGGTTTTCATTAGTTGATTATTCGATGTATCTAATCATATTCGCTTTAATCCAACTGCTTATGGTCAGAAAAGAAACCTGAAATTCCGATAAATTGAGTTAAAAAAAGTATTTTTCTTATTAAATTAAAAATGTAAAAATCAAAAGAGAATTTTAGAAAAAACGAACTCATTGAAGATTAAGTGCTGGTCGATATCGATCGGATTCTGATATTAGTAGGAAATTATCTTTTCTTTCTTTCAAATCTTATTTATTTGTCGATTTTTGAAGATATCCGTTTTAAATTCAATGATAACGATCGACGTTCGTTCAAATCACGAAAACATTCAAGATTTTATTCGAATTTTCTTTAATTCTATCCACAAACTAAATTTATTTCTTCTAGTCGCAAGCGAACGAATACGCTTAATCATCATAAATCTAAAGATTCAATTGATTCAGTATATTATTTCAATCGATACTTAAATTAAAAATATATTTCTCTCAATAGAATATAGAACAAGTGTCATCACCATCAAATTTTCGTAACAGTACATTGAACAATTCTTTATTGTCCTGAATATTCTCCTTATGATCAACAAAATAGTTTGTTCCTTCGAATGAGAAAATTTCTTTTGATATAAATCCAAATTGTAAATTTATATATAACGTTACAAACTTCTTTCAATGCTGATGATATCATTGATATGGATCAATGTTTAAAATCTTTAAAAAAATTTATGAAAGAAAATTTTTACATTAAATAATTTGTTTGAAACTGTAGATAGTTTCTTTTTTGAGTTTAATTAGGTATTTTATTATTTATTAACAAAATAAAAGAAAATGAAAAGTTATTCTCGCCGAATAATAGATTGATTAACACAAGAATATTTTATTTTTATTGAATCAACGGAAATTACTTATTCAAAAGCAAGAATAACATCTGAAAAGAATAATTTTCTCACCAGATAAACAAAGAATTAATATATCAATTATACAAGTAAGGAGTTTTTTAAAATTTATCTCTATTTTTTTAACAAATCGGAAGACTGTTATTTTTTTTACAGTATAGTATTCACAAACAATTAGCTGTAGATATGAATCAAATCGAAATTGCACTGGTCTGATATCAGCCAATTATCTTCTCGAGATACAAAGATTATATTTTCTTGAGAATAAATTTGAAAAAATTTTCTGTCATATGTGGTTTCCTACTTTTTTTTCTATTTCTTGTACTGGTGAAAACACTTAAAATCTTCAAATGATCATGAAAAATGATCCTTTTACATCAGATAAATATCATCTGCTCCAACTGATTTACTATTATCTTTTCTTCGCTATTCTCGGTTTCGCTCGATTGCTTGTCAATTTCAATCTTGATAGAACACGTCCTCATCTTCTAGTTATTGTTTTAGAAAGGATTTAGCATCGATCAATCGATTTTCTGTCGACTGATCATTAACAAAGAATATTATTGCGTTGGTTTAATCGATAATCTGGATACTTTTCATGCAGTAGACTTCAATAAAATACGTATTGTTCTACCAATCTATCGGCATTCAACTGAACCACAATATTATATTGTTAATTTAATTGATACAAATCAAAATCAACTATGAGCATTTCCATGTCTGTCAAATATTTATGAGATATTTTCGTCTTATTATGAAATTAAATATCAATTACATTTAACAAATAAAACAGAATCACTTCTTTCCGTTTCACAAACATTATATCGAATGAATCTAATCATTCTTGCAAATCGAAATAAAGCATAAAATGGTCATCGAACAACTCAATCACTGATTTGAACATGAGAACAGTGAGTAGTGATCATTCGTTTACTAATCATTTCAAGTGAGAGAATATAGTTATCTGATATTCAACTTTCACAAGTGATCGAACGTTCCTGTTCACCATCTAGCAAGCATCAGACTGTCGACTAATTAGCAGCGACATCTCTCACTTCGTTTGACTATTGTTTATTTCATGTTTTATTATATCACCAGACGGACACAATAGAGTATGTTTGTGGCTTTGCTCTCATTAATTGTTTAGCTTAGAAGAAGAAATGCAAGCATTTTTAAACTTTCGTCAACATATTCATCGTCTTCTCAATTCAAATTCATCAGTTGGTGATACAACTTTCATTGTCAAACATCTCGAAGATGAAGCATCAAATCTATGTCTTTCTTTCGACACGCAAATACAATCTCTTCGCGATGATTTACTCGCGAAAGACAATGAACTTATTAAAACGATGCAAGAACGCTTCAATCTTTTACAGGAATTGAATACAAACAAGGATTCTGCACATACAATTATTAAGTGTTTGAACATATCTCTCAAAGCATCTTCTCACACCATTGCTCGCACCATCATAGAAATGATTGCTCGTGAACATTTACATTCTATGAATTTAGCTATTGAAAAATTGATGGATAAGCTTCGTCGTGAAAAGAATTACGCAGTGAGTAATAAATCATCATTTTATTGCAATTAAAAATCTTTCTTCTTCTAGAATCACAGCTGGAGTACCATTGATCTTATTAAAGAAGCGAAGAAGAGAACATTTTGGGATACAATGACCGTGGAACAACAAAAAGATGCTGATCTTCTTGTCAAATGGCATTCACAGGGATCGAACAAGAAGAATTTCATCCCAACAAAAGATATATTAAAACGTATGTGGGAAAACTTGAAATCTACGGACATTGTGACAACTCTCAAACATCCGAAGTACGGCTCGTTTTCTGATAAAAATGAACAAATAGAAGTGAGTGAAGAAAAAAAAAGTAGTTTGAAGTACATTTTTTTTCTCATTCAATCTTCTTCATGAAAATGTGGTCGATAATTTTTTTTTTCTTTTTGCAGAAAGCATTTATTAATTTATATCAAACTTTATCTGAAGCTGTACACAATTGTGGTCTTTGCTATGAGGAAGATGTGCTTCCAATTCCAGATATTATTGAGAATATATTTAGTAAATCGGACGCATTAGCACTTGGTAAGTTAAACAATTTCCTTCTTCATGTTTTCTTTTTTTTTTGTAATCTAGCCACTTTTTATTCGATTACATTGCCAAACATGCCATATGAAATAGTGTCAAATGTTGCTAAGCTACCTTCAAATTCATCGTATTGGCTCAACAGTGGTGATTTGAAGAATTGCTCGAATATCTCCACCACCACGATTGCTGCAGCTGATGAAAAATCGTCCAAGCGAAAATTGGATGAAAATGAAGAAAATGAAGGAGATTAATATTGTGAAAGGGTTTTACCTGTGAAACATAAATATTAAAATTTCTAGACTAGAGCATGTTTATTCACTGAAAAAAATAAAAATAAAGGATTGAAAACAATATAATGACTAAAGTGAAAGGATTAATCGAGATTTTGAATGTTAAATTTGTAAATAATAAAGGTCATAGAAGGCTTCTAAAAGAGTTGCTGCAGACCATGCTTGTGCAATACATGAATCTGGACATATATTTTCATCAGCCTTTTTTAATTCAGGTAAACCTTTCCAATCATTTCAATAAAATAAATTCATTAATTATGTTAATAATTTTTTGCAATGTTTAATTGTTTGTTTCAAAATATTTTGATCATTTTGTTGTTTTGACCAATAAAGTTTTGCTCGTATATAATAACCAGTTAACCATAACCATTCAGGACCATTATGATAATTAAACCTATGTGCTCGTTTATAATCATATGAATCATCATTATTAACATAACCACCAACATAATTATAATCACTTTTAACAGATTATTTTATTTATTTATATAATAACAAAATAAAAAAGTATTTTACCTGGAATCAAGAGTTTTAATTCCATATTTTCCTAACAGAATTGTTTCAACTTGTTTTAATGCTAACTATAAATGAGTTTTATCAAACATTTTCGGCGCCCTTTTAATAAAAAAGAATTTTTTTTTAAATGAAATAAAATTTTGTACTTACAATAACTGCTGCAATAATAAAGTTAGGTCTTAATTGAAAATCAGTCCATCTGAGAGATGAATTAATTGTATCTTTATAAAGTTGTCTTCTATTAACATATTCCGATGAATTTGTTCCATCAATCCAAAATTCTTTTTCAAAATTTTCATCAATTTTATTTAACCATTCTGTGAAAAGTAATTTCATTTTTCCACCAATTCCTTTCAACAAAAAAAAAGAAAATTAAATATTTTCAAAATAAAATAAATAAATATCAGTAGGTGTTTCAACAGAATCATATGGATAATGTCCTTCTTGATTCATTTGAATAACCAAGCAATAACAGTTCTAGATAATCCAACTAATTTAACAGCAGATCCATCTCTTGGTGTAGCTGGATGTCCTTTATTATTTGCTTTATCACTTGAACTCATTTTATCCATCCATGTTCCAAAATTCCATCTGTTTCCTCCATAAACGAAACTAGTTTTAGTATCAATTCCAATTTTTTTATTCAAACCTTCATCACTCATAACTGAATCTAATGAATGTCCAGTTCCACGTTCTCTAAAATTTAAAGATTGAATATGACGAAGAAAAACTTCATGAATAACATCATATAATAATTGATCATGTAATCCAACTGTTTGTGCAGGACTATCATGTGTTGGATATAAATGTGAAACTATATCTGATAAAATTTAATAACCATCTGAAACTAAGCATGTATAAGATGATATTGAATATAACCACCACCAAACAGCATCTCTTGCATTATATCGTGCTGTTTTTCCATCAGCTAATAAATTAGGAATTAATCCATGACGAAGACATCCACCATATAATAAAATTAAATAACGAGCTTCTTCATATCGATTAGTTAATAAAGGAGGAGCACATAATGAAATAAATGTATCTCTTCCCCAATTTCTTCAAACTCCAGCAGCAAAATATGGTAATCCAGCAGCTAACTACGGAGTTAATTGTATTTTTTCAAATGTTTGTTCATCAATTTGTTCAATTGGTTTTGATTCACGTAAATTTGGTAATAATAATGGTAAACGCAAGGAGGAAAGTGCAGGCACCCAGCACCTGTTTGGCACCTTCAGCACCTGTTCGGTATCTTCAGCGCCCGTTCGACACCTTACCGCAATTGACTATGAGCACCTTCAAGCACTTTTCCACTACCTTAAGTGTTTTTTCAGCACCTTGCGGTAAAATTTAAAGGGCAGCGCCTAGGCACTAAATTTTAACACAAGATGCTGAAAAAACACTTAAGATAGTGGAAAAGTGCTTGAAGGTGCTGGAGGTGCTCATAGTCAATTGCGCTAAGGTATCGAACGGGTGCTGAAGGTACCGAACAGGTACTGAAGGTGCCAAACAGGTGCTGGGTACCTGCACTTATTCCCTTGCATACACGTCTCTCTTCAAATGTCTGGGCTTCTGTATCGATGAACACTTATCATTCGTCAAACATTGCATTAAAATACTCGAGAAAATTCAGGTTAATTAAACTATACTCAAATATCTCATCCGATCCTATGTATTCTCATAACAAGCACATCAACTAGTCTTTAATGCATTTATTTTACCTTATTTTCGACTTCTATATACCAATTTGTCCATTATTGTCGCTTAGCACCATTAAAACAATTGAAGCGAAAAAAAATGGTCAAATATATAGACTTATAAATAATTGGTGAGATGCTCGTAATGAAGAAGTCCAATGGTTATCTGCTTTCCAAACAGCTGCAACATGTACACAAGATATTTTACGTCGCTTCATAGATAAAGCACAAACAATACCAATTGAACTTTTCGAACAATATATCCTCTCAAAAGCAATTCCTATCTATTTGCGAATACACATCGAAGAAACTCATTTTATTGATGCCTTTTCCCATGGTAGATCGAACAAGTACATTCGAAATGGATCCATTCGGATGATCATGAATGACGACACAAATGCTGTTTAGATCATTTTCTCTTAAAAGCAATTATTCGAGAATACTAACTGTTGTAAACTATGCTTGTTGCAATTGCTTAGAAGCCGAGACTCAGGATCTAGTTTCTTATAATTCTGCAGATATTTTATCATAAATAAAGTACTAGCACACATACACATATTCCTCAACTCATTCGACTTGTTTATGGGCGAAATTTTCGAATGAAAATATCTTTATTTGATATATCGATAAAAATCGAAATTGAGTAAAACGATCATAAGTCGACTGTAGAGACTCATGAGGATGAGTCCTTTTGGGATTTTTCTAGTTTTATCGATATCTTCTTGTGAAGTAAATATGAGTTCAAATGGCGACTATTAGTTCAGGTAGTTCTCTCGTGAAGAAAGCAAATTAGCTAAATTATTGTGAGATTTCTTTTATGAAAATAATGATTTTGTTTTAGACAAATTAAATATATTTTAATTGAACATCTTTGTCAATACATTTATTTATCCAGTTTTTTATATAAAATCGTTAAATATGACTATTATCTCCAAAAAGTTTGCTTTGCTCTTACTAAAAAAAACAACGTTAGTGTTTAAATAATAAATATGTATGATTTATGTTGATGATTGTTGTTTGACAATTCCATCAATCCATTTAAGATAATCAGGATTTCCACTAGTAATCGGTAATTCGATTAATTCTGGTACATCATATGATTGATTCTTTTTTAACAAATCCAATTAATTAAGGAACATATTCTTTTCGTATTTTAATCATTAAAATAAGTTCATTATCTTCATGAATCTTTGATTGCCATTCATAAATCGATCGAACACTTGGAATTATATTGACACAAGTAGCAAGATGAGCTTCAATCAATGAACGAGCTAATTTGCGCGCAACTTCATCAGTTGATACTGTTGTTACACATGCTGAATATTCAAATGATTTATTTGAAGACATCGAACATTTTATTAATATCTGAGAGTAAACATAATATGTTAATAATGAAACAAAGAAAAAAATCAATGAAGCATAAATACTAGTAGAGACCATTAGAAAATCTAGAATAGATAATTAAACTCACCGAATAATATAAACGATGACCAAATAATTTAAATAACATACTGAAAACAAATATATATTTATACATTATTATCTCTGGTTATATTGATCAATTAGAGTTTTTTTTTTGTTTAATTTTTCACAGAATAAAAATGTTCTTATGAATAAAATTTCATTACATCAAGTTTATTGTTTTTTAAATAAAACAATATCTCGTTTAGTTTGATATTCTATTTGTAAATAAACGAGTTTGACGTTATTTCTTTGTTAAAAGAACATTAGAAAAAAAAGTTTTGTTTTGCTGATTAACTTGGTCAATTTTAATAAAAATAACAACAACAGCAAAGAAAAAAGAAAAACGAGGAACATAAAATGAATAAGTTTAAAAAAGACAGAAAAAAAGTGTCAATCTCATAAATTAATTATCATGTAAAGCAACAAATGATTTTGCTCCAAATGGTGATGCATAACGAATTTGTAAATGTTGAAAAACGTGTTGTCCAAAACCGAGATCACAAAGATAAAATCGTCCAACATTTTTTGATGACATTGAAACAAGTGGTAATAAAGGTACTAACGAATATTTACATTCATTAGCTCCACCATCTAATGGTAGATCAACACCAATAACAGATGCTTGAAGATGAGAACAATATTGAACTATATCACGATATCATGGTTTAGCAAATAAAACAGAATCAGAATTATTTGCAGCATCTAAACCATTTAATATTAAATCAACAGGTGATCGAGGAAGATCTTAAATATTTATTTATTTATTTATTTATTAGAGATTGAAATATCTCTTACCAGATACATTTGTTGTATTATACCTTGAGTTGTTCGAAATAATTTAAGTTCATTTTCAATAAAATGATATTGAATAGGAGTTGAATTTGGTGGAATATATAAATAAATTCGAATATTTCTTGATGCTAAAATTCTTCCAGCACAAATAGCATAAGCTCCTTGAACTTCAGTTAAACAAGCTAAAACAACGATTGTTGGATGTTGATGACGATTTTTAACTAATAATCGTTGTGTATCACCTAATAAATGCAAACACATATCAGTTGTACAACGACCCATTGATTCAATACGTCTTTCTAATAAATAACCATGATATTCAGCTGATGAAAATAATCTATTACGTAATTCGAGATTTATTCCTGGAACAACAAGACCTTCATCTTAAAGAAATTTTTTTATTAATTAAACAAAATTCAGATTTTCTTTTTAAATTTAACCTGTTAAAAACTTTTTCCTAGTAGGTACAGGTAATTGAATTTGTTCATAATCAATAGGTCCATTATTATGTTCAAGTATTATTTAATCACACCGGCATTTATCTTGAACTTGTGAATATGACTGTACTATTGAAAAATTTTTTAATGATGATAAATTTGATGGATCAAAATAAGAAGGATTTGTTGTTTCTTGATTTATTTCATTTTCATTTGCTGCTTCATCTGACCAAGATTTTGATGAACGAGAACGACTTGATAGACTTGCATTTATAACACTAGATATACTTGATTTACTACGTAAACAATTACAAATCAATTACATTTATTATCTATTTAAACACACAACTTTAAGAAAGTTTTCTTTTTTTCAAGTCAATCATCTCAATTATTGATTTAACCATCTTTTCAATTTGAATTCATCATAAATCGAATATAGTCAGCAATATTGGTTTTTTATTTCTAAGACACAAAGATTTTTTCAAGTTTTTCGTTAGAATATAATCATAGTTTATGCATCTGATTCAATTCATCAATTATGATATGAAGATGAAAGGTTAAAGAAATTTGTCTTGAAAAAAGATAACTATGAGAATATATTTTATTGAAAAACTGATTCAATCTTCATATCATGATTTTATTTCTTCTAACTATGACAAATATGTTTAATCAAGTCATTTATCCAATAATATTTATAAAAGAAAGAGCTGTTAGTGCAATATTCACCTTATTTAAATGTCAAAGACAATTTAGCTCATTTTACAAATAAGAAGGAGATTGTTTTATTTGTTCTACTTTTGAATAGATATATTCACCATTATCTTACTTAATTCTTGACAAATCCGATAATGAATTAGTTCAATTTATTATAACGAGATCTTATTAATATATGATCATAGATCGTATATGAACAAAGTCTAATACAGTCTGTGACGAAAGAAATATGTTGCTAACGTTCTCTGTCCCGTTTGTGATGAATCGTTTCTAAAGTAAATGTGACATCTGCGTAATGAGCTTATTAGTTGAAGACTCGTTTTAGATGGTGTTTGACAAAAAAAAAAGATAATAAAAATGCCATTATTAGCAATAGGTGCAGCTTTTAATTGTTGTTGTGATTGTTCATGAAATGATTTTTTTATGAATTGTTTTTAGTAATTGAAAAAGCGAACCTGGTTGAGATAAAAGATTTAAATCAATAATATCTTTAGCTTTAATCGTAACATTATTCGAACCATCTTGATCAATTAAAATTCCATTATGAAAAGCATTTTTTAATGTTAATCTTTGATTTATTCCATCAACAGATTTTATTTGACCTTGATAATTTCCAATTGTTGATCCACAATCAATTGATACAGTCCAATTAACAAAATTTTCAAAACTCATCACTTTATTTCATTCTAATTTTTATCGAGCTTTTTTTTTTAATCTAAATCAAACAAATAATTGTTTCCATTAGGAATAAATCGAACAATAAAAGAAAAGAAAAAAAATAAATGTCTATATATTCGCATCGTTTGACATTTTTTTATAATCGAACATATAAAAAAACACAAGGAAAAGAAAAAAAAGGAGAAGAGCTTGATTAAAGATAAAATAAAATTGAAATCGATGGAATATGTTCTATTTAATTAAGATAAACAAATAAAGACCTGAGCTCAATCAACAGATAGAATAATACTGTTCCATTGTGCACCTAATTCTTGTTTTATTTCACAACATAACAATAAACGAACAGTTACTTTTATAGAATATTATTCTTCTCTCTCTCAATTAATAGAAAATAATGTACACAAGAAAATATTTACGAAAATCTATTTACATTTAATGAAGAGAAGAAAAAAAACGCAAACAAAAAGGAAAATATTTAACTGATTGAACATGTTTTATTTGATAAATTTGGAATTTTTGATGAATTTCGATGAATAGGTTGTTTATTATTTGAATTATTATTATAAGAAGAAGAAGAAGACTTTGATGAACGACGAGAATTTCCTTTTTCATTTCAATATTCATTTGTTCCATTTTCATATGTATCATTATAATCCGTTGCTTTTATACTTTTTTCAAATATATCTTGACCAGACTTTTTTTTTCAAATTTATTTTTTATATTTATTTAAACATATTTATTCTTACTCGAATATCCATAGCAGATGCTTTAACGAATTGAACTTTCCATGCATTTGCTAAATTTCGTCCTTCTTCGCTTGAACCTACTCTGAAATAATTATTTACACTTTTGTTTTTTTTTCGTTTTATTTTATTTTAGATAATTAACGAAGATAATTAAAAAAGATTTCGATTATATTATATTAGATATAACTGTTTTTGTTTACTAAGTAAATGTTGATAACGAAGAACATACGTTATGAAAATAGTTCGATAAGATAGTTATCAATATTAAATAATAGAATCGGCATAAATTATTATTATTAAGTTTATCAAAAGATAACATTTGTTTTCTTATAAGATGACATATGTTTTTTTTTTGCTTTCCAATTTATTCATTTAATAAATAATCATATGAATAATAAGATTTTTTATTCTTACAAATCGATAGAAATATTTCAATTTATATTTATTATCAATATAAAACAAATTCTATCAAGTTAAAGGTAAATTATATTTATACTTTATTTAAGATAAGACATTTATCGATATTATATATTCTAATAAAATAAAATGTTTCAGATAGCAAATTTTTTTTTAACCAGACTTTATTAAGATTAGAAATATTCATTGGATTTATCTTTTATTCCGAAATTATTATTATTTTACAAAATCCTTTTCTTTTTTCGTCTTCTCTTATTATATCTAACAAGTTCGATATGAGAATTTAATTTAAAAAGATCTTTCACACTTGAGATTGTCTTAGAAGTTGAAAAACGAAGAGATTTATTAAACAAAAACGAAAAAAGATTATTGATTTTCGTTAATATATAGTTATTTATGATAAAAATATTTTGTTTTACTTATATTTTAGTTAATATAATAAAGAAATATTTTTCAATTAATAATTAACATTTAAATAGGATCTATAATCAATTATTGTTATTAATTAATCGATTTAATTCAATATATTTAAGAAATATATTCTTTTTCATGTTTTTTTCTTCTGATTGATTAATTAATAGTGGAAACATACCCCTATTATCATTTCGATCGATTTCATTTCCAACTAAAACTATTGGAATTCGAAAAAAAAAAAATATTCATTCTATAAAAAAATCTTTCTTTAAACAAAATTGAATTAACCTTGTAACGGTACTTGTCGACATAATTTTATCTCGAAATTTTTCAAACCATTTTAAAACTAAAAATGAATAAAAATAAAAGTAAAATAAATAATTAAATAAAACCTTTGTAAATCATCAATAGCATAAACAAGAATATAAACATCACTATTTTCAAAATCTATATGATTTATTGTATATAAATCGGATCGAGCATTATCAATTATTGTTAATTCTTATTCTTGTCCATTAATAATACATTGATGTTGAAGATCTTTAGTTAAGAGAAACAAAAATACACATGAATTTTTAAATAAATAAAAAAATATTTTAATTAACTTGTTTTTATATTTGGATCATATTCATTATAAAAATGTTTATAAACAAAATGATGTACAAGAGAAGATTTTTCAACACCTGGAAAACCCAATAATGCTATTTGTCGATGTCGACGCATTTTTATTTAATTTATCTTAAATAAGGGTGTGAGTGGGTGTGGGTGTGATTAAATAGAAGAATAACACCCACAGCAACAGCACAAATAATGTTAGTGAAAGATATTCCACATGGAGCGAAAAAAAAATAATTTTATTGTTGAAAAAAGCTAAAAAATTGGTGAAATATGTGAAGCTGGTAAGTATATGAGTCTATATTTAATTGGTCTGTTTCTATTTTTTATCTTTTATCTTGTTTTTTAGACTAGTCTGAATCAAGAAATCAAGGCAGCTGGAGGTACTACACTCCATCAAGCTTGCATCGTTAGATGGTTGTCTCTATCTGATTTACTAGAGTCGGTAATCAAGTCTTTCAAAATTACAAAGAAATTATTATATGGCAAAAAAAAACTACATATGATTAATGATTTAGATGAACAATATTTGAAACAATTAGTTCGTCTCTTAAAACCATTTAAACACATGATGACGATTATTCAATGTGGTAATTCACCTTCTCTTCATTTAGTTTCGTTGTGTTATATGACATTAAAAGAAATATAACAAAGAAAATAGCGATCAATTTGGAGACGATCAAAATTCAGAAAATTTATATGATGATGATTTAGAACATGAATTACAAGGTAACCATTTATAGACGAATCTGCAGCTTTAGAAATATTGATGCTTTCTTTCGTTTTAGGAATAACATGGTTTCGTGAACGGCTCTTATTATTATTAAAAGAGATGTTTGTATTGGATATTCGTCATGTTGTAGCCACATTACTACATCCACTTTATAGGTCATTAAAAAAATTTTCAAATTATATAAAGAACCAATGTCATCAATACATACGTCGTCAAATTCGATTATTAAAAGCAGAAGCAGAAACAGAAGAACAATTATAACAAACATTAGAACCATCAAAAAAGAAATTAAAAGGTGATAAAAATCTTTTTAGTCGATTTGAATCTGGAAATTGTGACGCAGAAACATGAAAAATAATAAAAGTGGTTCTGAAAGTGATGAATATGGATTCAATATCAAGAAAGGTGATGAACTTGATCGATATTTACTATTGGAGTTTGATAAAAACAAACAGTATACTGAACCATTATAATTCTGAAAGGACTACCAAAATCAATTTCCTTTTCTTTCGAAATATGCACGATCCATATTTTTCAATATCCGCCACGACAACAAATGTTGAACGTGAGTTTTCAACAGCAGGATACGTATTGAACCAACGACGATCAAGTTTGAAGCCAGAAGAGGTTGACAAAATTTTGTTCGTCAGATCCATGAAAAAACAATTACAAAATGATTAAAAACATTTTTTCTTTCATAATTTTCTCTGTTAATCCTAGTTCATTATTATTTGTTGTTAATCATAATGCTTTTTTTTCTTGGATTACTTTACAAATAAAAAATAGTACTGAAGTTTATATATAAACATTACAATATTTTTTTTCTCTGCAGGACATCCTGCCCTGCCCTGCCCTGTAGCACAGCACAGGGCAGAGCGGGACAAGGAAAAACTTTTGGAATGCTATTTTTTCAAGACAGGGCAGGACAACTTAGGGAAGAGAACCAGGACATGGCAGGGCAAAAAAGTGTGTCCTGCGAACACCTCTGGTATGGGCATATCTTTCTATTTAACGTTATTCTCTCATTGTTTTCATCTTCCACATTTATATACGTTGCACCCTTTGTCTTTTTTCATCATATCTACTATTTCCAACAATCTCAATAAAATTAATCAATACAACATTTTACAAATTACACGAGAAAAAAAATAGTCGTGCAACATTATTGATCGACTTAATTTAATTTTTCCGCTGTTCTCTTAACACATATATCACATTCATTCCATTGAGGATTATTTGCTTCTGATGCATAATCGACTAATATTAATGATCTGTAATTAAAAACATGAAAACCTACAAGATATGATTGCCAATAATGTGTCAAATGTTGTTCTCGATTATATAAAAAGATTGTTTTGAGTAATTTTTACGCTAAACTTACAAATATATACGTTAACTCCATAAACATAATATTGTTTCTCGATCTATTTTTGATTTTACAAATGACATACTCAAATATCTTCTATCAACGACGTAGCCAGGAGTGTGACCAGCGGCCAATCAACTACAAATTCAAAAACACTTGTCCAATGCCAAAAAATCTTGATGCATGTACATGTACAAAGACGGAAGCACTGTCATTTTAATACATTGTATCTTGTCATGATTTAATCAAGTGATCCAAAAAGATCAATTGATTATGTTTTCCATTAAACCAATCATCATAATGATGACAATAAATTGGTATCTTTTTCTATCAAAATACTTCTTATTTCACTTCAATTCACTAATGGTTCTAATTGTACTTATTTATGCTTTTTGGCATAGTATATTGAAATATTTGAAAGTTGAAGAATACATTTGTAAAATATTACAAAAAAAAAGGCGAGTGAGTTCGCCTCTTAGTTAACTATCGCCAATTTTTCTTTAATAAACATCGTTTTTTTGTAATGACAATAAGTTTTTTGAAAAATTGTAGTCCAATTGATTTTTAATTGTCTATTGCTACACACTCGTCAAAATAATTTAGCTGAGAAAACAGTCCATAAGTTAAAAACTCCTAGCTACGCCACTGTCTTATATACTTGACTCAATCGAATGAAGATCTAATTCTTGAACTATGTCTACTTTTATGATATTCGACCAAAGTGAATATGTTGACAAACAATAACTATATTCTCGTCTTGTATACATTAATGATGACGATGATATATTACCTGTTTAACTACAGTACAATGATAGACAGGTCAAAAGATAAAGTGTTCAATGAAAAATTATTATTATCAAAACTATAACTATACCATCTAAATACAGAAAAAAAAACAATGTATGTTTAAATGATCGTCACGTATGCACTTTTTCAATACTTTTCACAACTTAGTGTAATATTTAAATATTTGTCACAAGAAAAAAATTCATTAGCAATTTTTCTTTTCTTGATAAATCTCTTCATTTCACATCTTAACATTAGGTCTAACGCCTCAAGATTGAACATGATAAACTATAGGTAACATTTTCTCTCTTCATAGTGAAGATGACATTTTAAATTAATAGACTATTTTACTTATTATTAAAAAAACTACTCCTTTAGAAGATAAAATACATGTTTTTATCATAATTATAACATATAATACGAGACATGTGATTTATTATTCCCATTTGAATAAGTCACGCAAGCACAAATTCACATTTTCTTCATTTATTTAAGAGACATTTCTCTATGGTTAGTAATATTATTAATCTCTATCTACTTTCAGTCTTATCAGATATGACATTTCTTTTTTGTTTTCACATAGAATTATAAGAAAAACAACTTCTTAGAAAACCATCTCATTTTGTTTTTCATGAAAACACATTCAATTACACACACATATATATATATATATATTCTTTCATGGATTCCACATTTCTAAAAAAAATAAAGTTTTCTCGAATAATATTTATTCATTCATTTTTTTATTTGTAAATTTTAGTCATTTGTCATAATAAAAAAAAAATTGTGTTCGAAGTGCAACAATGTATTTCTATTAGTTAAATGATTTTTCAATATAGAATTGATTTGTTTTCTATTAAACTAAATGTTTGTTGATTGAAAATCTATTTTCTTTGTATGCTTTTGATATTTAATTGATATAAATATAAGGAATTAGTCTGCGGCGCTAGTATACATGTTTTGTGTATAGTTCTCCAATCAGACAAAATACGAGTTGAGACAGCTAAGTGACTCATCCTAACGAGAAGAAATAAATTGAACAGACGAAAAAAAAAATGTAAAAGAATGAATGAATTATCAATAGAGAAAAAAAAGAATTCTTTTTTGAATTATTCCAGATGATTATTTATCGAAATTAATTTCAATCGAGATATGGCATTGAGTGATCTCGTACTTGACTGTAAGTTATATCAAAAAACAAAAAAATATAAATAAATAAATATCGAATTTTAATTTCTTATTAAAAAAAAAACTTCTAGTTTACGAGATGACCAATACAGGTCGAGTTGATATGAGTGATTTTGAATTACTTAAAGTACTTGGCACGGGAGGTAAATTGAATTATATTCTTTAATAGAAAAAAACGAAAATATTCATTTTTAGCTTACGGTAAAGTTTTTCTCGTGCGTAAAATAACCGGTGCCGATATAGGAAAATTATATGCAATGAAAGTTTTAAAAAAATCAGCTATTTTACAAAAAGCTAAAACAGCTGAACATATTAAAACTGAACGACAAGTTTTAGAAGCCATTCGTCAGATTCCATTTTTAGTCTCACTTCATTATGCTTTTCAAAGTGATGCTAAACTTCATCTTGTTATGGGTATGTTTATTGATTTTCAAAAAAAGTAATAGAAATATATGAATTTTTTTTTATTCATATTTAGACTATGTCAGTGGTGGAGAATTATTTACACATCTTAATAAGCGACAACGTTTTAGTGAACAAGATGCGAAAATATATATTGCCGAATTAACACTTGCTCTTGGTCAATTACATAAAGTAATGTTTAAAGATGAAAAAAAAAGAAATATCAATAATAATACAAATTTCGTTTTTTTTAGCTTGGAATTATTTATCGAGATATTAAACTTGAGAATATATTACTTGATAACGAAGGCCATATTGTTCTAGCAGATTTTGGTTTAAGTAAAGAATTTCGACCGGATGATGCGGTAAGATTTAATTTTTTTGTTTTTCTTGATATTTCAATATTGTTAAATTAATGAAGGATAAACGAACTTATTCCTTTTGTGGTACAATTGAATATATGGCACCGGAAGTTGTTAAAGGTGGGGATGCTGGACATGATTTTGTAAGTTTTGATTCAAAATAATAATAAGAATAAAATATATATGGTTTATATGTATATAAAAACAGACAGTTGATTGGTGGAGTCTTGGTGTTCTTACATTTGAACTTTTAACCGGTGCATCTCCATTTACTGTCGATGGTGATCGAAATACTCAACCAGAAATATCTAAGTAAATTTTCAAGATTATAAAAACAAAAAACATTTTATGAAATGTAATGTTTTTGTTATAGACGAATAGTAAAAAATCATCCATTAATACCAAATCATATATCAAAAATAGCAAAAGATTTTATTCTTAAACTTTTAACAAAAAATCCAAAACGTCGTTTAGGTTCAAAAGGATTAGAAGATATTAAACGTCATCCATTTTTTGGATCTGATATGGATTGGGATGCTATTGCACAAAAACGTGTTCAAGCACCAATTAAACCAAAACTCAAAAATGAAATGGATACAAGTAATTTTGCAGATGAATTTACTCGTTTACCAATAATAGATTCACCTGGATTGGCTCCACCAACTGAAAGTCTCTTTAGAGTTAGTTTAATTTTGTAAAATAATTTATATTCTATTATATTCATCTCTGTTAGGGTTATTCGTTTATTTCGCCTACTGTTATCTTCGGTCCTGAGAATGCAGTAAATGAAGATTTATATAATCTTCTTCGTCTTACAAATTATCAACGACCTGATCCATCACAACTTCATCGATTGATTAAAGTTTGTTTCTTTTACGTCTTGTTTTTTGTATGACATATATATTTTATAATTTAGACAAGTCCATTTTTTCGAAATTATGAACTTATTGATCGTGAAGGTTTTCTTGGTGAAGGCAGTTATTCAATCTGTCGGTTAGTTAAATTGACATTGTTCAAATTCTTTTTTTTCTTCAATTTGAAAAATTTAGACGCTGTCGAAATCGTCGAACACAAGAAGACTTTGCTGTAAAAATAGTTTCACATAGACAAAAAGTTGATGCACAAAATGAAATTGAACTTTTACATTTATGCCAAGG